ATTAGATTTTAGGTGCATTTTTTGCCCAAATTGGTTGAAAAATAGGGTTTTGCCGCAATTAGCACACCATCCCCTAACAGCCAATATGAGGGTGCTCATATCATATGCACGACTGTACTTATAATTGTACATGACCATACTTATCTACAAGAAGCCCATCTATAAAGAAACATCTTGGTTTAAAAACCTATAAGAGGAACCTCTCATGCAGCAACAAAGCATCTTTTTGACATCTTAATTTTGATGCACCTTTGACGACATTTGGAGTCATTGAGAGTGAGGATCACTTGCAAAGGCAAAGGAAGTTTTTTTAGAATCTAAGCAAATGATTAAAAGCGTGTTTTACAAATGAAAACTCTTTTCATCCCTTTACTTTAAAGGATTTTTTTAATTTTTATTCTTCTTTCATGTCTATGAATTTGTTTGCAATTATTTTGATTGTTTACTTTAGGATGAGTAACTAAATTCATAGATAAAGTTATGGTGAACCTTTTATATGACTTTATGTGATATCTACATTTAATAATAATTTTAGTATTTGTCTATGATTAATTTTTATTCTATTACATATAAATATATATTAAAAATTGACTACTCTTAACATCTTATGATTAATTATAGAGTAGGTGACTGTATCATATGTAATTAATAGACTTATATAATAAAACAAGATAAAGAATTATGTAGATAAAGCCAATTTGGAAAATACTTGGGGTATTATTATTAGCCATCTTAATCCTTCTGGACATGATTTTTCCTTTATACTTGACAAACTCAAGAAAAGCTCTCATTATGAAAAATGAAATTCTTATCTATGGCAGGAAAAGTCACTCTAGCTCAGTCCTGTATTATGAACATGCCTACTTACTTTATTTAATCTATGATCATCCCCAAATTTGTGTTTAAAGATATTGATAATAATTGTAAAAAAATTCATTTAGGAATCCTTAACTAGTAAAAAATGACATTTAATTACTTGAAATAAAATTTATAAACCTAAGGATAAAAAAGGAGTTAGGCGGACATTTGTCTTATGAACCAAGTTTGCATTATAAAATTGTGCTGGAGGCTTATAACCTCCCCTAATGGTCTGTGGGCCCATATTTTATGTAGTAAATATAAATTTTCTCTTGGAAGGAATCTTAACTCTGGAAATAATCAAAATTACCCACATTTATGGAAAAATATTTTGTCTATTTGGAACTATTTCTCTAAAAGGTTAAATTGATTTTTTGGGGATGGACTGACCATTAGATTCTGGGAGGGTAATTGAGTTCATAGTGCCTTGCATTTTATCCCTGAGGATGAATTTAATAAGCTTGTAGTTATGTTTTCTTCTCAAGGTAGATGTGATTGGGCTATAATTAGGTCTATGTTACCTGCTCTTCTATGTGATTCCATTGCTCATATCTTGTCTTCTGATTGGACAAGGGGTTAGGACTTTTTTTTTTCCTAGAAATACTCTAGTAATTAAATTTTTTCATAAAATATGCCTACAACTTAATTGCTTCCCCCAAGAAAAATGGGAAAAATTATAATAATATCTTTAAACTTGTGTGAGGTTGGGAGGGTCTTCCTAAAATTACATTATTATGGAAAGTCACTTATGGTAGGCTCCTAAAAAATGATGAAAGGTGCATTGGAGGTATGACTAGCTCCCCTATTTTCTCTAGGTGTAGGAAAGAAGGAGAATTTGTCATTCATGTCCTTAGGGATTGCTAGTTTGCTAAACAAGTTTAGAATCAACTTATTCTTCTTTCTTTAGCAAGGACCTGAATATTTGGCTGAATTATAATTTGTCTAAACACGATTTCATATATACTCTAATTGGAATAAATTATTTGGAATGGTTATTTAGAATTTGTGGAACAATAAAAATAATTTTAATTTCTAGAATTCCTCTCTTAATTAATTCGTTGTTAGATAAAATTATGTATGACTTTGAATTTTATCTTTTTTGAGGCAGGGCTAATTAGAAAGTTGGTTTTGCTATTATGGTGTTTAGAGTATTGTTAGATGGCAACCAGCTTAAATTTGCATCTCAAACTAAATGTAGATAGAGCTATTTTCTAATCTACTAGATTTGCTAGTTGTGGAAGCTCATTCGGGATAGTAAGGAAATATTTGTAGCTGGATTCCATAGTGTCTTGGATCCCTATTCCCCTCTAGCAGCTCAATTTTGGAGAATTTGTTAGGAAGCTCAAGTTTGTTATTCTGAAAAAAAAATTGATTAATCTAGATTAAATGTGATTCTAAAAAGATTATCTCCTTAATTGTCAATTTTCTCAATTGTAACCATTTTTTGTTCTCTATAATTAAGAAGATTAGGAATTTGTTTAAAGGTATTAAGTTTATCAAATTCAACCATATTTTTAGAGAAGTCAACCAATGTGTGAATTAGTTTACTAAAGTAGAGGCAGACTGTATGTTGCCTTTTTTTTTTTTTAAATTTTGATAAGGTTTTTTCTTCCTTATTTTCATAACTGCATAAAAATATTAAGGTTTTGAAAGTGGAAATAATTATACTTTCTTAGTCATACTTGTTTGTCAATTTTGAAAATCTCCAAAACCATGACCGCTTAAGACCTTGCTCTTAATATTATCAATGAGCTTTGCATTAATCTCTTGACCAAGCAAAAGTTGGGCATCTTTCTTTTAAGCTTTCCATGATTAAAAAATTTGTTTATGTATTTTGTAGTTTTAATAGTTTTAATTTACATTCCCCACAAACCAACATGAGACTTTTCAGTGTGCTTTGTCCTCACTTGCATACTTCCCGGAAACTTCTTAGAAGATCACCCATCCCATAATTGCTCTCAGTTAAGCACACTTAACTTTAGAATTCTTAAGTGATAGGCCACCGAAAAGAAAATGCATTTTGTTGGTATAGATAGTCCTAACCAATTTCTTTAAGCTATCCTCAACTGTATACACACTCGCTGGATCCCCCTCTCATTCCGATGTAAGTTTAATTCATTCATGTGTCCCTTACTACCGGAAGCCTGCTAGGAGCTGCTCCTTGTCCGTGCCCACACTGCACCAACGATTACTCCCCGCCCTCGCCTAGCGCCTGGGTGTCACATCCAATCTGAGCCTTTCATTTAACTTAAATATAATGGATTATAATTTATTACTTTACTGGCCGTTAGATTTAAGTTAAATGAAAGGCTCAAATTGAGTGTGAAGATCCTTCCCCACATATATATATATATATATATGTATAAAGTTGAAAAGAAAAAATACATATAAAAATCTTTTAAAAAAAAGAAAAATATCAATGATAAAAAAAATAATATAAATATTATAATATGCATAAATTTTACTAAATTATTAGTAGTTGTAACAATTAAAAATACAGAAAGGGTAAATAAGGAAAAACACAAAGAAGGATCACAAGATAAAATGACAGATAGCCAAGTGGCAATGGATGTGAATGATCAAAGAAAGAGAATTAGTGAGATGAAAACAACTAACTCTCGCCTAAAGGACTATGTGTGGGCAGGTTTAGTATATAACTAATTCAGTTCGGAGAGAGGGTGTGGATGAGCTAATATGATCTCTCCTTTCTATTTTTCTCTTGGCCCTTCAGTGGGTTTCCTTAGTTCATTTCCTTTTGCTCTGTATAGCTACTTCTGTAGCCTTCTATACCCCATTGTAAGAAAACTCATACAAAATAATACATATAGAGGCATTATACATCTTCACAACATTCTTATACTGAAACTATTACTATTAGAAAATTTTACTCATAACAATGGGCGCTTTCATCTCGTTCAATGGGTGAGAGTACACGTTTAAAAGAACTTTCCATAGATGTCAAGCGCATTCTAGATCTAATGGAGTCACGTAACACGAAACACAACACTTGATTTGAAACCCTAGAATTTGAGATTGATATGTTACTTAAGCAAAATCCAGCTGACGTTAGCTCATCCCAATCGTCCCAACCATTTCAAGTTTATAGTGTGAAACTGGACTTTCGTGTTTTGATGGTGTTGATGTGCTTCACTAGATTTTCAAGGTATAACATTTTTTCAATTATCACAATACTTATGATGATCAACGACTCACAATTGGCTCCAAATAGTTCATTCCAACAGTTGATGGACTTATAAATGAATTATTTGGAGCTTAGAATTTTTCTAAATTGGATTTGAGGTCAGGCTATCTTGATTAATTCAGATGATAGGCACAAAACTACTTTTCGGACACACCAAAGTCATTATGAGTGGTTGATAATGCTATTTGACTTTACAAATGTTCCAACTACCTTTCAAAGTTTGATAAATAAAACATTTAAGAGTCTTCTCAAAAAATCTATTCTAGTATTATTTGATGACATTTTTGTATATAATTCATCATGGTTTAGATCATCTATAACTAGTTCTCAATTATTATAGCATTTTATTTTAATTACTTAATTTAAAATTAATGGATAATAATAAAAATTTAATATATAAATTCACATTTAAAATGTTCATATTAGAATTAAATAATTTTTTTCAGTTTTTTTAGATTATAAGTATTTTTATTAAAAAAAAAAACTATGTTCGAATTAGATAATAACTTTGCATATAACAATTTTTAAAAAAATATTTAACAAAATTTGTGTTGAGAGAAACTTTTCTTTCTCTGACATTGCCTACGTTTAAAGTTTTTATTTTTATTTTAATGGTTGTTTAGATGGCATCATCCTTAATACCTTTTTCATATCTAATTATGAGGTAATTGAATATTTTGTACTCCGATGGTGTGCTTCTGTTTCTCTGAACGTAACCTTTCAATTTGGACTAATTTAAACCTAGGACACCCTTGATAAAATTAGGTATGGAGAATATCAAACTGAATTTTTTTTTATTTAAAAAAGCATATCAGAGAGTTTATGTATATTATTATCTCTAGTAATTTAATATATATTTTTTAATTTTTTCCTTAATTTTTTGGACGATTCCTTAGATTTAAATTATCCGCAATATTAGCAAGTTGTTTAGTATTTTGAAAATTCGTTTCTTAGGTTAAAGCCCCTCGTATAGATCGGTGCGGTTACTGGTCCATGGAACGCAGCGCAGAGCAAGCTTCGAAACTCTAATCCGAGGCGTACCCAACTTCCTGAAGTTGAAAACCCACTAATTAGTGAGTAAAGATTAACGCTTGCTCAACTCAAATACCTTCTGGTTTGTTTCAGCCTTATTTCATTCTTAACTTTTCTAGTTTCCGAATGTCAACGAGCATGTGATTTTTTTTTTTTTGTGACTTATGTTCGCTTTTTCTTCTTCTGCTCTAACTTTATAGATTATAGTTATGTTTAGAAAAGAAAAAAAAGAAAAAACAAGGGATTTTGGTGCTGAAAACACACTTCACCCTATCATTAGGACAGCAACAGTGTTAGAGTTTGGCCATAGTATAACAAAGAAATTTTCTAAATTCATTAATGCTAACCTAGGTTATTCAGGGATCAGAGTGTCAAGTTTTCATCATTTTGTTTTACTTTCATAAGTTTTATGCTCAAATTTTCTGTTTGAGTTTTGGGACTGAATGGGTGTTTGTGGTTAATGTTTTCATGACTTTAGACTTGAATGCTGTACTTCCACAATTCATTAGTTTCTCACTTTTTTGGTTATCAGATAATTGTTCTTTTTGGCTGAGTAACTGAGTTGAAGACTTCTAAGATGTTGGCCTGTGATTCTGCAAAAGGGTTGTCATTTAATAAAACAATTAGTAATGGCGATCTGGTTATTGTTTATGAAAGACATGACAACATGAAGGCTGTAACAGTGTCTGAGGGTTCAGTCCTGCAGAATCGTTTTGGCGTTTTTAAACATTCAGATTGGATAGGAAAGCCTTTTGGGTCTAAAGTATTCAGCAGTAAGGGGGGGTTTGTGTACTTGTTAGCTCCCACGCCAGAATTATGGACTCTAGTGTTAAGCCACAGGACTCAGATTCTCTATATTGCAGATATTAGCTTTGTTATCATGTACTTGGAAATTGTTCCTGGGTGTTTGGTCCTTGAATCTGGAACTGGAAGTGGATCTTTGACTACTTCACTTGCAAGGGCAGTTGCTCCTACAGGACACGTCTGTACTTTTGATTTCCATGAACAAAGGGCTGCATCAGCTAGGTAACAAACAAGGAAAATGATATTGTGATTTTCTCTTTAGAATTTGCTTTTGTATATTTGTATTGTATGTAGCATTCATCTGTATGTTGTGGTTTACTTTTATGGCTTTAATTTCCACTCTCATCCTATCATGTATTGTCGAATCATTGAAAGAAATTTGACTATCACAACCTGTCCCCTGGAAGTCCAACTCTTTAAATGATGTGCTAACATACAATTAGATAATATAACAAATTTTACATCGGCCATGGACCAAATTTAAACTCTTGTTTTATTAATTTTGCTTTGTGGCCTTGTTCTTACTAAATTGTGAGCAAGATATTTGGGTGATCCGTTGCTCTGTTATTCAAAATGTCTATGCCTCTCTAAACAATGCTGTTTTCTTACTTAACGGGATCTGGGAAATAAAAAAGATCTAGAAACCAGTTGATAAATACACTCTGTACTGTACTCTTTATTTATTTATTTAATTATTTTTATTTTCACTAGGTTATGTATAACGTTGTTGAATCATTCCTTTGTCATATCTTCGCGTAATATTTCTTCTTTGTAGGGATGATTTTGAGAGGACAGGTTTAAGCAACTTAGTCAGTGTGGGAGTTAGGGACATTCAGGGTGAAGGATTTCCGGATGAATTTATGGGCAAGGCTGACTCAGTATTTTTGGATCTACCTCAACCTTGGCTCGCAATTCCTTCAGCTTCAAAAATGCTAAAACAAGATGGCACATTATGCTCTTTCTCTCCTTGCATTGAACAAGTTCAACGATCATGTGAAACATTTCAAACCTGCTACACAGGTAGTTATTGTGCTTTACTTCTTTCTGTCATCTATATTCTCTGATTTTCATTATATTTCTGTGCCTTTTCTTTCTCTTTCACGTTATACACGCAAATTTTATTAGACTGACAGAATCTGCATTTAAATTTTTGGCAATGTAAAAGATATAAGGACATTTGAGATACTCTTGCGCACATATGAAGTTCAGGAAGGGAAAATGGAAAGATTACAAGGCGACGGCAATGGTTGTAATGCTTCTCTTTCTAGCAAGAGGAAGCAATGTTCGGATGGAAGCTATGTGCTTAGCAGCCCTATTTCTTCTGTCATGGCTAGACCTTGTAGTGAAGCTCGAGGTCACACAGGCTATTTAACATTTGCAAGACTTAAATGCGCCTCATGAAGAGGGCTATCATGTCCATTTTTTGTAGTAGAGAAATGCCTTTACGTTTTTGTTTCATGTGTGGTGCGAGAAATTGCTTTTATTCGTTATAATCAAAGGTTTTGAAAGAAAATTTTGGGATAACATGCGTGTTTGGCTTCAAATATGCTTTTACTTTATACCTTATGGTTCAACCTTCCAACCTGACTCAAGGCTTATCCCGTTGCATACTAGTGATCATTAATAAATATTGTGCTTCATATTATTTATAAATATTCAGAGTAACCAAGTTTACTTAATAGAAGTGCATTGCTTCAACGAAGAGGCAAGAGGTCTTATTATTTGACATTGCCAATCTTTAAAAGTAACCTTTCAATTTGGACTAATGTAAATTTAGGACACCCTTTAAGGAATCAAGTGTTATCAAATAGCGGTTATTGCCTCGTTATAAAGTTTTTGTGGAGCAGAATTTGGGCTTGCCACTATGAAAAAACTATTGATTTGCAGTTTTGTTATTTTCAAATTCGCGGACGCTATTCACGTAGCAGAAAGCGTAAATAAAATAGAAGTTTTTTTTTTTTTTGGTTTAATAAGAGGTATGAATAGTCACATCTTACCTCATGTCACTGTTGTTAAATATATTTTTTTTTTACCTATCACTTCTCACTTGTTTTTGAAGATGAACAGTGTTTCGTTCTTTTACAGTTTTACCTACTTTGTTTTTTGAACGAAAAATAGCGCAATATTACAGCCCATTTAGTTCTTTTTGTCTGTCTCTTATCTCCAGCAACTATTGTTGCCTCTAGCAAGTCCCTGTAAGTATTTTTGATTTTTGCTCTTCTCTCTTCCCTCAGACTAGCACCTCTTTTTTTGAATACAAAAATAGAGTATAACAGTGCCTTCTATTTCACACCCCTATGGAGTGCTCTTCCTCTAGTAATCAGTTGTAGCAACCAATATTGCTCCCGACGAGTCCCCAACGTGCACTGTTGTCTCCGACGTGTTTCTAGAGAGTCTCCGACGAGTACAGTAGACAACAACTACTGTTGTAGTTTTCTCCTTTTTTATTTTTCGTAGTATGCCAAGTGAAGAATCTTCAAATCCTTCAAGAGTTGGTGCTAGGATTGACCCCGGATAGAAATATTGTCATCCAGCCTAAGGAAATGACACCAATAGTTGTGTTTGCAATTTTTGTGGTAAGGTCACAAAAGGAGGAATTACCTGAGCCAAAGAACACTTGATGGAAAAAAAAGGTAATGTTGCAACTTGCACCAAATGTCCAAAAGAGGTCAGAGAAGAATTATGGGGATATTTGAAAGATAAGAAGAAGCAAGATAGTGAAGCATTTCAAAGGATGCACAATGATCTTGATGAATTTGATGATAGTGATGAAGAACGTGCTCTTGATGAAGGGTTTAGAGAAATAGTGTCTAATAGTGCTATTGGAAAGAAGAGTGTTTCTAAGGGCCTTATTGATCTTTATTTCAAAAGGCCTGAAACTGCAATTGAGAAAAAGAAGGATAAACTAAAGCAAGCAAGCATAAGGGAAGCATGTGACAAGGAGGCTACTACAAGAGTTCATCAATACATTGCTCGATTTTGGTATTAAGTTGGCTTATCCTTCAATATGATTAAGTTGCAAAGTTTTTATGACATGCTTACAGCTATTGGAAGCTTTGGGCCAAATTTGAAGCCTCCTTCTTACCATGATATAAGAGTTCCACTCCTCAATAAAGAGTTGACATACATTGAAGATTTGTTGAAGGGTAAAAATGAGCAATGGAGAAGATTTGGATGCTCTATCATGTTTGATGCATGGACAGATAGAAAACAGAGATCCTTAATAAATTTCTTAGTGAATTCTCCTTCAGGCACTATGTTCATTAAATCTATTGATGCGTCAGACATTGTGAAGACTAGTCAGAAAATATTTGACTTACTTGACTATATTATTGAAGAAATTGGAGAAGAAAAGATTGTCCAAGTAATAACGGACAATGGAAGCAATTATGTTCTTGTTGGTAAGTTACTAGAAGAAAAAAGACCTCATTTGTATTGGACTCCTTGTGCAGCCTATGGTATAGATTTGATGTTAGAAGACATTGGAAAGCTACTTATGATAAAGAAGACAATTCAAAAGGTGATATTTCTGGTTGGCTTCATCTATAGTCATATAAGTACCTTAAGCTTGTTGAGGTACTTTACCAATAAAAAAGAATTGGTGAGACATGCAATTACTTGATTTGCTACATCCTTCCTTACATTAGAAAGGACTCATAAGGAGAAAGCAAATCTTAGAAAAATGTTTGTATCGGATGATTGGACAAATAACAAATTGTCCAAGAAGGCCAAAGGAAGAGAAGTAACAAAAATTGTACTCATGCCTACTTTTTGGAATAATGTTATGTACACACTTAAGGTCATGGCTCCTCTTGTGTGTGTGCTTTGCCTTGTTAATAGTGAAAAAAAAACTAGCCATGGGTTATGTTTATGAGGCAATGGAAATGGCTAAAGAAATTATTGTGAGATCTTTTGAGAACAATGAAAGCAAATATAAGGAAGTTTTTGAAATTATTGATAAGAGGTGGAGTTGCCAACTTCATCACCCATTACATGTGACTGGTTACTTCCTAAATCCAGAATTCTTCTACAACAATCCCTCAATTGAATTTGATTTTGAGGTGACAAATGGGTTGTATGCATGCATTGAAAGGTTAGGGCCTACTTTGGAAGTGAAACAAAAGATTCTTGAGGAGCTACTGGTTTATAAAGCTGTTGGTAGTATGTTTGGAAATAAATTTGCAATTTCACAAAGGAACACAATTGTACCAAGTGAGAAACTTTATGAAGTTTTCTCTATTCTTCTAAATTGTAACCTTTATTACGTGCATTATTACAAAATATTTATTTGAATTTGTAGCACGATGATGGAAAATGTACAGACTATCAACTCCAAATTTATAGCAATTGGCTATAAAGATCTTGAGCTTGACGTGTAGTGCATCAAGATGTGAACGCAACTTGAGTGTATTGGAGCAAGCAATTTACTAATTAACAATTTTCTTAGTAGATAATAGTTTCTATACTTAGTCACTTGGAGAATTTTGTTAATTTTTATTGAACTTATTGTTGTAGATACATTCTAAGAAAAGGAATAGACTTGAGCATAAAAGACTACATGACTTAGTGTATATCAAATATAATCAAACATTGCTTAGAAGATACAATTTTAGGGATGAGATTGACCCAATCTCACTCAATGATATTGATGAGTGTAATGAATGATTAGTTGGGAAGATGGATGGTGATGAAGATGATGGTGGAAATGAGAGGGTCTTTGAGGATGACAATGATAATGCCCTTATTTGGGAAAATGTTTATAGAGCTTCAGGAGTTGGAGAGTCTATAACATATACTAGGCAAAGATTTCAGAAAAGAAAGGAACCACTTAATATTGTTGGGGCTGCATCTAAGATAAAGAAAGGTTTGGCAAGTGCGTCTTCATCCAAAAATGGAAAAGAGTTTATGGTTGAAGTTGAAGATACTGCAGTCTTGGAAAAATCAGAAAAAGAATTAGAAGACAAACAAGATATTGATTTTGAAGATTTAGAAGAAGTTGAAGAATATGCCTCACTATCTGATAATGAGATTGATGATTATATAGGAGTGAAAGGAGATGAGAATGACTGAATGAATGAGTTTGTTTTGTCTTTGTTTAGTGCTTTAGTATTTTATTTTGAAGTTTGAACAATTAAAATTTTGACTTGAATCAATCTTGTGTCACCTTTTTTGTTTACCATCTTTTAAATTTCATGTAGCTTATTTATTTATATATTGCATTACTACTTAATTTTTTATATTTCAATTGCTATGTGATTTTTGCTATTTGTCTGCAATGCTATCCGCTATATATCATTGCAGTTTTTTGTTTTTTTACAATTTTTCACAATCTGCTATTGATAACACTGAAGAAATCCTTATTTAAAATCGAGAACATCCTTTATTTTTTTGTCATTAGGGGAGGGAGATGTGGGAAATTTTAAGACCTAGGAGATCACTAATACATGTGACACTTCTAAGGCTGAATTTTTCAGTCCAGAAAAAGAGGCTGCATTTTAAAGAGTGGTCAAGGCAACCAACAGCGATGGGTCATACTAATGTTCAATATACCTCGACCCAAAACAAGTATGATTCCAAGCAACCTTTACCGACAATATCAAGAAAATATTTTACCTATCCAATAACCATAGCCAAAATGTTAATTCGTAGCTTTGCCTAAGAGTATTCATGATTTATGAGAAAAGGGAAAAAAAAGAAAAAGAATAGGGGTGTTGTATTCATAAAGAATGGGTAATTCACACACAAAATTATAGACAAGTTCAATAGTTTATAGGGATGTAACATAATTTTTGGCATTTACTTAGTAAATGTGCATGCACACTCGTGCTAGATAAAGTAATAGAACATATAGTTTATGAAGTATATGAAATTTGGTAGTCAATCAAGATATTCTGTGAAAACTTTATTCGATCATCAGATTGATAAAATTCAAAAGATAGAGGTAATTTTTCATCCCAACCTCTACACACACATTCCAGTAAGCTTGAATTTCAGCAGTCTTGTATGATTCCATAAATTTTAACAATTAATAAGTACTTATATTTTTCTCAATTTAATGTACAACATATTTTAAAAAATCAATTTTAAAATTATATACTTATAAATATTTAATTTTTCTTAACTTTAATATATGAATAATCTTACCAATAGTTTGATCCCTTTAAAATAATGGATTGTAGGGGTAGTGTGCAAAATTATAACTTTTACTTAAGTTTTGTTTGTGTACACTCTAAAGTTCCATTTTCCCAAAAAAAAGAAAAGAAAAGAAAAGAAAAGAAAACTACAATTACTTGTGATGGGAACAAGGAAAAAGGCCCAAAGCCAAGTAGATAAAATGTGAAAGTTAGTTATAATTGAAAGAGCGTATGTAGCATGTGAGAGGATATACAAGGAGAGAGTGAAGATACATGAGGAGAGTATTGCAATAATTGGTTATACAGTTATTTAGTTAGGCACTGCATAAAACAATACTGTAAAAGAGCCATAGACTTTATTAGAATATTTGTTCTGTAATTTATATTTTAATCAATACAATGTCTTTTATTTTTAATAATATATTTGAGAGTACTATCAAATTATTTCTTGGAAAATGTTTGTTGGACATTCTAAACAGAAAATAATGATGTACTTTAAGAATCAATAAAATAAAATAAAATTGAAGTACTTATATGGATGTATTTTATTGTAATTTTTACTAAATGACTTAAACATGACACTTTATTAAATATAAATGATGAAGATAATTAATAATTTTATATTATTATAAGAGTATTTATATAAATCTAGTAATTTTTAATTGTATATTATGATTTAGATTAAGTTAGATTTATAAAGTGCTTTGTATTGAATTTTTTTTATTTTATTGTTTTAGACTTCTTTATTTTAACATGAATTTTTAGAAAAGTTTAGAATAAAGATTCTTAGAAAAAAAATATCTCTAATGTTATCAATATTCAAAATTGTGTCATCAATTCAAGAAAAGTAAAAAAGTGTAATGCTAGAATATTAAAATAGTGTAACATGTAGAGCATGGTAATGTTCCAACTAGCGTTATTAAGACCAAATATTTACGAAAGTTATAAATGATGCAAAAAATCTCCTATTTGAGGAAGTTTTTGATCGTTAGCATTTTCATCTTTGAAAATTTTATTATCTCCTTGCCAACCATGGGTTAAAGAACTTGTATCTTTAAGGAATGAAGTGACTAGTTTATTAATTTTTATTGAGTCACTCTTCATTTTTTCTTTTTATGTAATTTTTTTTTTTGTGTTGTTAGGTGTAACTAAACATTTTTAGTTAAGAAAAGAGGAATCTAAACTTCAACTTGTATGTAATTTGAATTTTTTACTTTTAGTTCATGTCTATTTATTTTAAATTGATTGTTTATCTCTTCTGTTAATGCCTCTATGAATTGACCATTCATATTGGATTATAGATTTTTATTTGCAATTGAAAGATTGAAATAGGAATTAGAATTAAAATAAACCAACATAATTGGAGCCCTTTAGGAATAGAGGTCAACAATTATTAGGTCCTAAAACTTGTAAAGACTCTAAGAATTATAAAGATTAATATTTGTTCTAGTTAAGAATTTCTAAGGAATTAAAGTTTCTAATTTGAAAGAAAGGTCGTTCACTCAAAGAATTAACCTTTAACTATATTAAAAAATTTAACCTTCAATTACAATTTCAAAAAGACTTAAGTTATTTAGGCAAAGGTTTAGTCAACTTATTTTCTAACACTTTTGATATATTAATTTTTTATCATAAATATTATGTTTAATAATTATATTCATAAAATAAAATTAAAAAACTCACTGTTTCATTTTGAATTTTATAATAGAATTTAATGTCAGTTTCATACTTGTTTTAAAAAAATTAGTCCTTTCATTCAAATTGTAAGACAAATAGTAAAGAAATTGAGAAATTAACAAGTAAGTTACAGTTTTTACGAGAACAACATTAAATTTATATGTACTATATCGTACACTTGTCATAGTTTAAATTCAACACTAAATTTATAATTTTGCACTTTATACGCCCGTAACTTTTCACTTTTCACTTCAGAGGGGGAAAATTCTTTGAAATAATGCTAAACATTTAATGATTGAATGGGTAAAATTAAATTTCAATAAGCAATTCACTAGTGTTCGGAATTCACTTTGCACTAGCGGGAAGAGATCTGTACACCACACGTTGTCACGGAATGGTGAACCATTTATGACCCATGAATTAATTGGCTTTGCATTTAGCACTCATTCATTGCGTGCACTGCTATAAAAGGTAGTGGCACGTTTGAGCAGCCGCTCTAAACTGAAAGAGCCATAAAATCAGTTATGTGAATTGTAATGCATTTGGCAGCAACTACAAAGCAGCGAGACTCCTTCATACAAAGGAAATGATTAATCAGAAAAACGCAATAATTTCAGCAACAATATCGTATTCCAATGTTGGTTAGCACAACTACTTTTTACAGACAACTTAAAAGTGTAGCTCAAAAGACAATTTTTCGTCTATGTTACAATAATTTCAGTTACCATTCTTTAAATTAAACAATGGAATGGTTATCTTATAAATAACCACCAGCCAGAATAAGAAATAGCGAAGAATTGGCAAAATTCCACTGCTGAATTCAGCAAAAAGACAACTACTGTAATGCCCTGATTATAATACAAAAGGATATCCTTGTACCCCCATCATCATTAATCACAGAGCCAGAAACATCGCTAGACCACCAGTGGATAACACAAATAGATGGAACCTGCAATTAAACGAGGGCCCACGAAGGACAAAACCTGCCTAACCACCTCATTAACTCAATTCTGATAGCTGTACCCAGCACATACCTGAGAGCACCGTGAGATATAAATTTTTTGGTAACAGTCAGCATTTAAGTTGGAACATCCAGAAAATTACAAGCATTTAAGCATGATTTAGATATAGATTCCCGATCTGGTGATCATTTCCTATTTAGTGATTGAATTAAACCGAAACTACTATAGGGATAATTTTCTATTGGAATTTAAAAGTCACTGATTTTACAACTCTAAAATTCACCTGACCCATGTCAGAGACTGGTCACATCTTTTTAACAGTGAGAATATCATTTATACAAGAGAGGTATTAATGCAAACGCCAATTTAAATTTAGAGGGAAGCGCCTAGATGTCGACCAACTTTAGAGGGTAAAAACATGAACTCGTCGTCACGATGCTATTTTCAAGCCCCAAAAAAATTAAAATTTCTCTTCCCTTTTCTTTAGCCAACTATTGTCAAGCAAACCATGAGCGGAAAAACATGGGAGGGAATTTGGCCCTGTCAAAGAAAAAGCTTGGAACTTCCCCCTCCCTCTCAGAAAAATTATATAATCCAACCTTTGGAAGAGCTTGAATTAAGCAACACTTCCATGATCTGACCCATCATCATAGTAATAAGGGGACAACTTTCCATCTTTCTTGGCAGGTTTCGTTAGGTTCTCTGTACCCACCTCTTGTAACATCTTCACCACCCTCCTCATCGCAGGCCGGTTGATTGGAAGAGGACTAGTGCACATGAGGCCAATGTTGAGGACCTTGCAAATTTCTTCTTTGAAACAAGAATCAAGCCTGGGGTCAAGCACATGGTCCACGCCTTTCTGATCCAAGGTGGTGCATACCCACATAACCAAGTCTTTTTCCCCAAATTCAGGGTCTATGGGTCGCCTTCCCGTAACCAACTCAAGTATGACAACACCGAAACTATATATGTCACTCTTCTCATTCACTCTAAGCGTGTATGCATATTCTGCAGAAGGAAGAATCAAGTCAGTTTGGCTCCATAGAGACGTAGAAGCAGATAATTATTGCAAAACGACAATGAAAAGCAGCTAGTAAGCAAGGGTATAATACCAAGCAAAAGAAACCATTTAATACAAAGACAATTGAGGCTTAATTTATTGGTTAATTTTGGTACCACTTTATTGACATTAATTCTATGGGCATGGATCTTATAACGTACGTACTAAGACAATTGCAGACCGAGTTTTACTCACAAAGTTCCAATTTGTTCTCAAACTAATCTATAAGTCAAAAATTAATGAAAGCACCGATTATGAGTAGTTAAGCACAAGTAGTACCGCACTAAATGTATCTCACATTTATCAAATTAAGAATGAACATGAAGAAAAACAGGAAACAAAATAACATGAAATTTCTGCTAACCTGGTGCAATATACCCACAAGACCCAGCTATGACGGACATGGATTTAGTTCCTTTCCCGGTGGATTCGACAACCTTAGCTACTCCAAAGTCTGCCACTCTTGCACCAAAGTCCCCATCCAACAAGATGTTATTAGATTTCACATCTCTATGAACAATTGGGGGAACACAGTCATGATGCAAATAAGAGAGGCCTTCTGCAGCATCAACAGCTATCTTATACCTGGTTGGCCAATCCAACAACCCTCCTTTACTACTATGCAGCAAATCACCCAGACTACCATTCGGCATATATTCATACACCAACAACTTGCAATCCCTAGTAGTGCAGCAACACCACAGCTTGACAATGTTCTTGTGCCTTATTTTGCCCAAAGTTTCAACCTCTGCGTCAAAAGCACTGTCTTGAAACTGAGCCTTTTCAACATCTCCACTATCTAATTCCTTTTTGACCCCACCCCATATCTTCTTCACAGCAACAGCTTCCCCACTGCTAAGCACAACCTTGTAAACTTTCCCCGACGACCCACTTCCTATCACATTATCTTCATCAAGGCAGTTCAAGATCTCATCTTCACCGAAACCCAGTTTATGAAACGACATCAATGTCCACTTCGATTTATCAATAGATCTCCTAGCATTTTTGAAATTCCTGTACTTGAAGTAGAACCACACCACACCAACGACAAACACCAAAGTGGCAACTATGAAAATAGTTCGAAGCAACCACACAAAACCTTTACTCTTATCATCACCTTTGCCATTGCACAAACCTTTCAAATCTCCACACAGACCAGGATTACCCATAAAACTATCCCTGTACATATCCTTAGCCAGCAGAGGGGGAAGTCCTCCAGAAAGTTTATTATAAGACAAATTGAGCTGATTGAGCTTCAAATTCTGCAAACCCAGAGGGACATTCCCTGAAAACTGGTTATTGGAAAGATCAAGAAAATTAAGCACAGACAAACTCCCAATTCCATCAGGAATATTCCCACCAATCTCATTATCAGCCAAATTCAACTCGTTGAGTTTCTTCCATGATTGAATCCCCTTTGGAAGCTCCCCAGAGAGCCTATTGTTATGAAGATCAAGAGTCCCAAGTTGCCCAAGATTCACAATAGTCTCAGGCATCGACCCATTGAACATGTTATCACCACCCGAAAACTCCTGAAGATTTTCCACCCATCCAATCTCGTCGGGGATCACTCCCGAGAAACTGTTGTTCGATAAAATCAACAGCGACAGATTCCTCGCCCCAGCGATGGTCTTCGCGATTGGACCAGTGAACGAGTTATCCACCAGTTCAAGCAAATACACATGCGGAAGACCCCACAAACCTGCCGGAACCTCGCCGGACAACCGATTCGACCCAAGCCTGACACGCATCAAACTCTGGCACGCGCCCAGACTCGCCGGAATTTCCCCGGAGAACGAGTTCTCAATCATGAGAATCTCCTCCAACTCGCCGTTATCGCAGAGACTGGCCGGAATCCCCCCCGAAAAATGGTTGTTGGAAACATCAAGCCACCTCAACGGAGCATTCTTGCCGAGATTCTCCGGCAACTTCCCGGCGAGCCTGTTGCCAAACAACCTCAGTTCATAAAGGTTGGGCGAGTCGGCAATACTCGCGGGCAACTCGCCCTCGAACCGGTTCTCGTAAAGGTTAAGACTCTCAAGCGGTAAACGACACAACTCATCGGGAATGGGGCCACTCAAATGGTTCATAGACACATCAATGAGCCTCAATGCGGTGAGGTTGAATATTCCCCGAGGCAACTCGCCGGACAGCGAGTTGTTATACAATTCAATCTGTTTCAGACTGGTCATTCGAGTGAGAGAACTCGGAATCGAGCCATAGAGGTTATTGAACGAGAGGTCCAAGTCGAGAAGGTTGTTGAGATTCCCGAGCGAGTGAGGGATGGGACCGACGAGATTGCAGGAACTGAGCCAGAGGATCTCGAGGTTGGTGAGGTTGCCGAGTTCTGGAGGGATCTGAGAGGGGAGAAAGGGGTTGTAAGAGAGGTTGAGGACTTTGAGAGTGGTTATGTTGGAGAGAGAAGGTGGAACGGTGTCGTCTAGGAGGTTGTTAACGAGGGAGAGGACTTGGAGGTTCTGGAAGGTTCCGAAGGAGTGAGGGATGGGGCCGGAGAAGTTGTTGCCGGTTAAGTCTAGGTAGCGGAGATTGGGGAGGAGGGATAGGGTGTGGGGGAGTGCACCCGTGAGGAGGTTTTGGGAGAGGTCGAGGTGGAGGAGAGAGGTACAGAGGGAGATGTCGAGAGGGAGTGTTTGGTTGATGGAGTTGTTGAAGAGGATTATGGAGGTGAGGTTTGGTAGGCGACAGAGAAGTGAAGCGGGAAATGGGCCTGCGATGTTGAAGTTGGAGAGGTCGAGCGATGTTACGGTGGTGTTGGTTGAGTCGCAGGTGAGGCCAGCCCAGTTACACGGAGTTGGGTCGCGGTTGTTCCATGTGGAGAGGGAGGAGTCAGGGTCGTCCAGTGATAGCTTCAACTGGTAGAGGTAGAGGCCCTCTTGGTTTAGACACGACACGATGGGAGGTCCCAAGAGTAAAAGGAGCAGAACCAGCAGAGTGCGAGGCATTTTCTTTGCTTTGTTCCTCGTTCAACCAAACAGGGGCTGTGTTGTGTTGTTTTGTGTTGGGTTGAGCAGATCAATTTTATGGTGGGAGAAAGAGGAACACTTGTGGCAGTCTTACTCCATCTGGTTAGTTACTTGGTTTGGTTTGCTTTCTTCTTCTGCTTCGCCATACAAAACTACCACTACTGAGTTGGCAAGGGTCGTTTCCCCCCTCTCTCTCTCTATAGAGCCCTGTCAGATTTGATGGTTATCGACATCGTTATTCCCTGTAATAACTATTAGTTTTTTTAATCCTTTTTAACAGAGAAAAACCAACACAATTAGATCATTTGTAATCACTCCTCTTAATCAGAAAATAAAAGAAGGTAATATTTAAGACTATTTTGTGCTTTTTATAAAATAATTTAAAAATATTTATTCAAACTATTAAATATTTCTTAAACAATAGTATTAATTTTTTAAAAAAATACTCTTAAACTTTGATTATGATTTACGTGTAAAAATAAATAAATTCTCTTACGTTATTAAATAATGCATAATGTGGCTATATTATGAAAATATATTGTTATTAAATTTAATTAATTATGATGAATATTACTTTAATAAAATTATTTTTTATTAAAAATATATAATATCATAATACATGGATAATAACATTTAATAAACAAATATTATTTATTAATTTTTATTATATATTCTCATATACGTGTTTAAAAAATCGCATTTAATTACAATTTAAATTGTTTCAAATGTACTGAAGCTGTGAGTTGCCTTCAATGTTGCGGCAACTCCCAAGAAGTGGGATTTCAGATCTAGCGAAGCTTGTTGCACGATAATAATGTCAAACTCGATTGATTGCGTTTTTTTTTTAATTTGTTTTTCTGTGAGATCTAATTAATTGAGATAGTAAATACAGCATGTGCGAGTTCATTAGTAGAATGAGATTACAGCAAAACAAAATGCTCTCTCAAGTAATTTACATTGATTAAGTGTGGAGTCAGAGCACAAAAACAAACACCATTAACCCAATACATAACAAGTTTTAAGCTTCAAGAAGAATGATATGCAACTCCCATTAAACAAATTGAAAATAATGATGCGTAACTATCAGGTTACAAGATAAGGAAAAGAAAAGATAGTAGTAACAACAACCGTTTACTTTCATAAAGTGGAGTGAAATAGTAACTGCAGTGACTCAATAAAGGAAAAGGCAAACGTTAGTGGAACACTGGAATGTTTGTGACAATCATCGTGAATTTGGAGTCTGAACCGGTGGGAAAAAGATACACTACCCGTGCCCGTTACAACAAACATGTCATGATTATTTTCTAAGAATTGCGTAAGCAAAACAATGGATGTTGTTGTATGCTATTGCACATTAAGTATAAGAGTGGTTCATACAAAATGAAAAATGGGTAATATTTTCAATGACAAAAAATTAAAATCGCGTTTCTAATCCATATGATTGTGTTTGTGACTTTAGTTTGTGGCATTTGTCCTAAAATTGAAAACCTTTGCACTGATGTGTATATTAGTTGTCCCTTTTTTTCTTAATACATGGAAGTTTAACGTATGCTTCTTCCACAGTCAATGTTGTTGTCATGACAAAGAAAAAACAATAAATTATAAATTCTCTAATTTTAACCAATTTGTCCTAAATTCTCATCCAAATGAAGAAGCAGATGTATCGTCACTTTAAAATATTTATTGTCAAATAAAAAATAGTAATAATTAATACAAAAGAGCGAGAATGCACACTATCCCAGACGAGCTTTGGTTCAAAGGAGTTATCAAATTTCTTTAATCGATGTTGTGCAAAGTGCCGTTTTAGACACGAATAATTTGAAAGCAGCAACTCGTTTAAAATTGTTTGTATTAGCTCATCAAAATCAAATACGTGTGGTTGATTTTTCTTTTGTTCTTTTCTTAATATTCATAGTGCATAATCAAGCCAATTTGACATAATCGAGTTGGGGTCCTGGCATATAAATTATGGAGCATTTCTTCAAGTTGTTACCAGATATGAAATTATAAAACAGAAGTTGTTCTTATCGCATCCTAGTTATTAGTACAAGAATAAGCCAAAATATTAATATCACTAGTGACGAAAGAGCATTAATGATAAAGAAGAAGGAGAAGATTGGCGTGAGTGAATTGTAAGTTTCGAACAATTCAAAGGGAATTGAAGAAAGAAGCGAGACAAGTAGAAGGAGCCAAGCGAGCTTACACGCACCACAGGATGAGTTTGAGAAACGTGAATGAAGCGACTGTTCCTCCCTGACGGTTATATTTCAGATTCAGAGGCCACGGAGAGCGTCATGCAAATAGACACTTCTCAAGTTTCAATGAAACCACCTATTTGGTCAATCTAGGTCAAATTTCGGGAAAACACATCGTTTTCGTCTCTTAGCTTTTTTTATTAATATTTATTAATAATTTTGTCAATTCACTTGTTTTTTTCCCACCCATTCTTCCTCTTTTCTTGTTTGTAGCCATACCTTTGAATTGCTACAACTGACTTGCTCGAGATAAAATTTCTGGAAGTCACCAATTTGACCTTAAAATTTGAAGAGAATATTAATACTTCTAATAATTAAAATTTTTAATACATATCTAAAAGTAAATAATAAAAGTTTATGTATAATAAATTTATTAAAATAACAACATTTTACAATTTTTATTAAAAGTTTATGTATAATATTTCTTAATAAAATTTATTATTTTGCATTATTTAACGTTTATCTTTAGACAAATATTAAAAAAAACTGTTTTACAATTAATGATTTGTCGGAGTATTGTAGCACCCTTAAAACTCTAGCATTCAAATTAAGGTCTTGTGTTTCGTTCATTTTATTTCGGGAAGAAGACCACCTTGGTTAAAGGGTTAACTGGTCAAAAACATTAAGTAAGAATTGAAATTTGAAAAAAAGAAAACTTTTATGTGTTAATTTGTTTTGTGAGAAAAAGTGTAGTATTTTTTTTTAACTTTTTATATTTTGTTGAATATAATTTTAAAATAATATAAAAATATTTTTAAAATTAAAAATCACATAATTAAAAATTTTAATTAAATTTTTTATAGTTTTATTAAATAATTTTTTATTATTATAAATATATTTTTACATTCATTATTTTTTTGTACTTTCTTTTTCATTTATTTAAACAAGTAGAATAATTTTTTTTACTACTTTCTCTCTTATTTTTATCTAACAAAACGATACATATTTTTCATTTTGTTTTTTATATATTTATTTCACGCCGTACTTTTTTTCTTATTTTCTTTTTACTCATTTTTTCTTTTATTTAAACATAACAAATGTTCATTTTTATGGAATTTCAAGTCATTGAACTCTGGAACAATTAATATGAAAAATATTTAAGTGATTTAGAATTTTTATATTATTCTTTAGTTAAAAATATAATTTTATTTAAATATTGTATAATGAAAATTAAGGTCTTGTGTTTCCTTCATTTTATTTCGGGAAGAAAAACATTACGTAAGAATTGAAATTTGTAAAAAAAGAAAACTTTTATGTGCTAATTTGTTTTGTGAGAAAAAGTGTAGTATTTTTTTTAACTTTTTATATTTTTTTGAATATAATTTTAAAATAATATAAAAAAATTTTAAAAATTTAAAATCATATAATTAAATTTTTTTATAGTTTTATTAAAATAAAAATTTTATTTTATTATAAAAATATGTTTATATTCATTTTTTTTGCACTTTCTTTTTCATTTATTTAAACTATTTTTACTATTTTATCTCTTATTTTTATCTATCAAAACGATACATCTTTTTCATTTTATTTTTTATATATTTATTTCACACCGTATTTTTTTTCTTATTTTCTTTTTACTCATTTTATTTTATTTTATTTAAACATAGCAAATGTCCATTTTTGTGGAATTTCGAGTCATTAAACTTTGGAACAATTAATATGAAAAATATTTAAGTGATTTAGAATTTTTATATTATTCTTTAGTCAAAAATATAACTTTATTTAAATATTTGTATAATAAAAATTAATTAAAATTAAAATATCATACACATTATCAAAATCAATTTTTTTATTTTAATTAAACAATAAAACTAAAAACAATTATTATACGTCTTCTAATTAAATATCAAGCATGTACCAAGATCTTTAATTTTTACGATTCGGTGATATTTACTCATGAAGTTACGTGCGGTGGCTTACAGTCTACAATGATTTTAGTTCTTTTAGAATACTAAAATTACTCCACTTTAAGTTTTACTTGATATTTCTTTCATTTTTTTATACGTTAATGTTTTATTTTATTCATTTTTGTTTCATAATTTTATCTTCAATAATTAATGAATATTTTATAAAAAATAATGAATGAATAAATAAATTTTTAATTAATATTATTGATAAAAAATATAATAAAAAAACAATTGATATTTTATATAAAATTAAAATATCAAATAATTTTTAAATATTTATGTAAAAATATTAAATAAAAAATAGGAGTAACATTTTAATAATTTAAAATTTAAATTATACATTTATATATAATTTTTAAAATTATACCAGATGGAAATCGACGAGATAATTTGTCTGTGTGTAAAAGTATACATGTTATTTAAAATTACAACTTTATTGCAACCATATATAATAAACATGGAATATGAAAAATTATTAAAAAGTATTATTTGTTTTTTTAATTATTATTATTATTATTATAAAAATATATTTCAATTTTTATGTGAAATAAAATAATGATTTTTTAGATAAAAAATGGTTAACATTACATTTAACATGTGTTTAATGTTCGAATAAATAACTTAATTAAGTATTTATTTAATACATTTTTATCAATATAAATTATAAAATTCATAACAATTAACGTCACTTTTGCATAAATAACTCGTTTAATATAAAATAAAAAGAGGTGGTATTAAATAAAAAAATAAAAACACAATTTAATAAAAATCACACAAAGTTCACCTAATATTGAAAAGTATATAAAAAACATATAAGATTAACATCCCTCTTACCCAAATTTATCAAGTTGGAAAATCTCATCATACCTGTACATGATATTGTTATATGAAAAAAAAAGAAAAAGGAAAAAAAATGACATGTATGGTTTTATCTTCGAAGAGTAGTTACAAGTATTTAGTATATTTTCTTTATACAGTAGTATTCGGTGAAGTTTAACTGTTTAAGCAAGAATGATCAACAGCAATTTTTTTTTATTAACAAGTACACCAGAGAAGATATATTTGAAACGTTCAATTAAAAGTAAAA